CACACACACACACACACACACGCAAACATTATTCCCAGAGGGCTGTTTAGCATTACACAGCCCCTCGGGAATTTATGAGTTTTTATCACCTCCTGATGGCGCCCGTTAAGTGATTTGTTCACCTACGGCCCCTTAAAGAGACATCTGTTGTTTTACCGTCGGCCATAACCTCCCCGGAGCTTTTCCGCCGTGTTTGACTTGTCTCTCTGGTTATGAGCCCGGGCTTTCGACATGCAGGGCCACGCTTTCAGTGCCAGGGAGGCGAGGGAGGGATGGAGAGGGAGGGAGGGAGGGGAGCAAACACCTTTAATGGTCTCTCATTCGCTCCCAAGTGCAAAGCATCGGATCAATGCAGGTCTATTGCAATCACATAATGGGAAATCAAATAGCATTATCCCTCCCTTCTTTCTCCCCCTCCCTCTCTCCCACATCCTTTTACTCTCGCTCTCTCTCCCTCACACACACGCTCTGTCCCCTCTGATGGGAATCCAAACGTCCCAGGGAACATGGACAGTGTTTGCTCCGTGCGCTAAGTGAGCTTTTTATGAATCCGCTTAATTGCCACTAAAACGTCCCCTCGTCCGCGCGTAATAACATCCAATAACAGGAAAGGACCTTCCCCGTACGCGGCGGCTGTGACCATTTAACACGTTTTTACTGTAATAAATGACCACCTCGAATTGGCCCGTAATCGCTGATCCTCAATCAGTGACGCATATCACCGGCTATTAGGCATCGCCAAAGTGCGCCAGGGACATTTTCCTCCTCGTATAAAACATTATGATTATGAAACATTTTCCTTCCTCCGCCCCCCCCTCCCTCCCTTCTGTTTGATTTACAAGTCATCTCTGCTCAGATAAAAGATAAACAAGACACTTACTTGGACACGGGCCTCGGTGAGATCCAGGCGCATTGCGAGCTCCTCTCTGAAAAGAATTGTCAAAAAAGAGGGGAAGAGAGAAAAGGCAGGGGAAGAAAAGATTCAAGGTTACAGGCCAACGTTTGGAAGCAACGCAGAATTGCTGTTTTGTCCCCTCCTATTGTTCACTGTCAACAGTCGACCAAAATAGGCTTGATTTTTTTCTCTCCCTCTCCTCCCTGGTATGAACTGCAGAAAGACGCCATGGCCATATTCTATTTTCCCCTGTCACGGATGGGTAGAAATAGGCCTTAGTGATTGTTGGATTTTTTTTCTCCCCTTAGCCCGGGCCTGTCACTGTAACAACATAATGGTTTGAAATAATGACATCCAAACTAGCCTGCCACAAAGCAATTGGCGCTGCCTTCAGCTGCAGAGATGGGCTTGCGGTGCAAATTACAGCCGCGAGTCTTCTTAAAGTAAATCAATTGGAAAATATGAATAATCCCAAAGGTTAAAAAAAGAAATAGAAAATGTAGGTACTTATGTCCTGCAGATTTAGAGAAGCCGTTTTTTAATTTGTGCGTAAAGAGGTGCCAAACATCTACACATTATTTATTAACAAGTGGATTTTATTGATTTTGTTTTTATGTCCTATAAATATAACATTTCTAATATTAATAATAATATATTTTTTAAATATATCATAGGAAGCCATGTATTTCACTGTGTGTTTACACCTGCTTTGGGTTTGAAGTTGGGCCCTGACATTTTTTATCCAGCATGTATTCAGTATCATGTCCGGCATCAGCTAACCTGAGCTGCACCGGTTAATTATCCTCCCTGAGAATAATACCGCTCTGTATCATTCAGGTGGAGCAAAAAAAACTCCTCAATTGTGTTAGCACTTACTGGGGGAAAAGTTATTGGCCTGGGTGGTGTTCATTTTAAAATAAATGCAATTAATTATCACCTTCAATTACAGAAAATATAAGATAATAAATAGCATGTTTGTCTTTTTTCATTTTGGGGAGTTTTATTTAAAGCCAAACCTTGTTAAAATTATAACAATCAAAATAATTTATCATGGAAATTATTTTTGTAGAGTAATTTATTTAGAAATTTTTAAAAGCCTACCTGCGTTTTATATGCACTTATATTAAAATACATATGCCTACAACGCCATAAAAACAACGACAATAATAATAATAATTATAATATAAATAATAGTAATGATAATAATAATGTGACTACTGTATTTTCCTATTTGAATTTGTCTTACCTGGTGAACACGTCGGGGTAGTGTGTCTTCTGGAAAGCTCTCTCCAGCTCCTCCAGCTGGTAACTGGTGAACGTAGTCCTGTATCTTCTCTGCTTCCGTTTCAGCATCCCCTCCTCCGAGTCACTGCCCGCCGAAAGACACACGCTGTCCTCCCCGTCCCTCACCTCCCCATCCCCGGCATTCAAGCTCTCCCTCTCCTCGTCCTTCGGGGACAGGGTCGCCGCGTCCGCACAGCTCTCCTCCTCCTTCCCCGCCGCGTCCTCCTCGAACTTCAGCGGGCCGAGCTCCACCAGCCCCAGGCTGCCGTCCTCCGAGCACTCCACGGGGCTCTGGTCGCCCTCTCCCCGGCTCAGGGACGCGTTCTCCCGGTAAGACTTGCTGCGGCTGATGCTCACCTGGGGCGCCTGGCTGATCTTGAGGCCGTCGCTGGCCTGCTCCAGGAGCAGTCGCTCCCTGTCCAGCTTCGCTGCGTGGTCGTGGAGGTACTTGCCGCCGGGCCCGTACAGCCGGCGGAGCTTTGGTGGCAGGTGGATGTCAGCGCTGAGAGACAGGGGGTCTTTAGTTGGCCCTGAGAGAGAAGCATGTCAGGGATATAAAATACTGAATAACAACATGGCTGTGACGAGCAGAGCAAATCCTTTAAAAACGCAACTAAAGGATAGGCTTTCAAACATTTTCATCAGACTTAACAAATACCATAAGACAACACTCAGGCCTGTGAGCCAACGATTATGAAACTGAGGAGATTATTCTCTTGACTTTCTGGAAATGCAAAGAAACTCTTCTGGAAACATAAGGCTAACCACACACTTTTACGCATGGAATTACGCACGGAACGTCTTTGTTCTACATGTTTAGCTTCCGCAGTGATTTCAATAAACCAGTGCAGAGGGGGAACTTACCGTCCGCGGGTTTGTCGAGCTCTCCTCTGCCGGGAAGACCCGTCAAACTTTGCGCTCCGATCAGTCTGACCTTACAGGGGCTGCGGCGGCCCAGAATGCTCTCTATGCAGTAAGAGGAGAGCAGCGTCGGGGACTTGTTGCTCTTCCTCTCGCCCCGGTCGTAGATGTCTTCCTCGAACTGGCCGCTCATGTCGACGCTTTGGTTCGTCTAGTTTCGGTAACGCCTGTCACTTTCTCTCCCCTTCTCTCTCTCTCTCTTTCTTGCGCTCTTCTGTCTCTTCTTCTTCTGGTCTTCTTCTCTCTCAGGCCGGTGTGTCAGTTTGAACCCGGAGCGTTCACTCCTCCCTCCTGTCCTCTCTTCTCCTTTCTTTATTTCCCTTCTCTTCCCCTCTTCTCCTCTCCTCTCTTCTCTCTCTCTCTCTCTCTCTCTCTCTCAGCTGATGACAGACAGCTGACTCCACCGCCTCGCGCTGCTCCGCTCCGTGCGCTCTGCTCTGCGTAAACGTGGAGGCTGTCACCGCGCGCCTGATTGGCTCGTGTGTGTGTATGCGGGGAGAGAGACAGCGCGAGGAGGCTTTATATATTTTACATTAAAGTTAATTTGAGGGAAGGACAACAAAACACGACATGGAGTTTCTTTCCCTTTTCCTCGTGGAACGAACTCCTAAAAATAAAGTTGTATAGCAAAGCGACTTAAAGCAGCTTTTAGTGCCTGATAGTTTGATTGTTATTTTACTCTGACATTTATGTTTTTGTAACATTTAAATGTTTAAAGGATCCATTTGAAATCTTCTCCACTATAGTGAAATTATTTAATAATTTAAATAGGGTTTTGGCAGATGTGGCAACACAGTCAGACCAGTACAGGTGAAAATGACTAAATATGCCCAAAATGTCCAAGCATAATAAATAGCACATATCCTTTTTTTCAAGGAGGCTACAAAATATATTTTAACATGGCAAAGTAAGTAGATAGATTTGGAAATATTACATTTCATGCTGATTAATTCCTTCCTTGGACTAAACTGAGCCTGCTTAGTGTCTTTTTTTTGTCAATTCGGAAAAAAGAAAATTCTATTCGTGCCCAAGGGGCCACCATGTCATTCTCATACAATATTATTAGCCTACAGTAATACATTTCATTTAAAACATTAACAATAGGCTAATAACTGCTAATATTGCCAATAAACAACCGGTCAAATTCACATTTATTCCACCCTTTTTGCTGCCACCATTTTATATCACGTTATTTGTAT